TAGTTAGAAATCTGCTTTCTTGGTGAATTAAAACTGCCTAGCTAATACAGTTGAGCATGTGATTCATTACAGTTCATGATGTTTGATATACTTGAAAGCTAGGGTTAACAGCTCTCAATGACTGTATCTGTCTGGATACTCGAATTACTAAGTACTTTAGCTCAAACTTGATTTAAAATAATTTCTGTTTTTCATGCTATGTTGATTTGTAGAAAAACTTGACATTATTTACCTAGCTTAAGGAAAACTGGCGGCTTGGTAAAACAATGGTTTGTTTTGATGGAGATGAAGACAAAACCACAATAATAGTTAATAATTATAGATTTGATGTTATTAAATAGATTGAACATGGTCATATTTTTTTAACAAGTTTGGGCAGAAAGAATATTTAAACCCATGTATGGAGTGGAGATGTGAGTGAGGTAGATTCATCTTTTAAATCCATTATCCACAGACAAAACTGCTGTATTGTCACATCATAGGAATATCCCGGAATATTTAGTTGGTCAAAGTGAACTATACATATAAGAAATAGAGCAGAGCCTTCCCCATCCCATGCGCCTCCTATTCACTTCACTAGACAATTTATCAAAATCATCAAATAGATAGATGGAAAGGCCTCACGCTCCAAATAATTCCACATTTATTTCTCATTGAATGCCATAATCGCTTGATTGTTGGGCCATGGCTTTGATGTTACTTTTTCGCCTGTCTACGTAATGGATGAGCATCAACGATTGAGTGTTAATTAATTTATTAGAGTTTCAAAGCATCACTCGTGCAGGTGTTGAGGAATTCAAAGCTTTCGGGGTGACCATGTTTGCAAGTATGGGAACAAAAGCAAGCTCATCCGGTCTCAGACAGCCTGGATGCTCTGCACGAGCTCATCGGATGCTACTGCTTTGGCGGCATTCGAGGTGTCTAAGTGCGATGCTTAAGCACATATGAATTAAAATATTCCAGCAGCAAAATCATGGACTGCAAATGAATAAGCAATGGCGATGGAGCTGGAAAAATATATGCAAAAGTTGGCATTATCACTTTATCATTTACATCCGGTCGAGGCTCAACTGCGGCACCTTCTGCGAAAGTATGGGTAATTGACTTCAGAATATCTCAAAATGCCGGTTTCCAAAGTCTTATATGCACAACTAGTTTCAACCCATAGATATAGGAAGGTTGCTGAGAAGAACGGGAGCACTTTGAGACCAAGTCATATAATATAGGGTAGTTATTTGATCTATTGATAATTAGATTTTCTAAAAAAATCCACAAATTGTTTTAAGGTGTTTTAATTAATAATATTAAGTAAATAATATGGGAGTTGAACATTATTTAGGTTGGTATAATTATCGAGATAATATATATATATAGAGAGAGAGGGGTAGGATTCACTCAATGTAAAAAATAAATACTTTCATATAAATCTATGATAGTTGGATGAATGAAAATGGACGATTGAGATTATCTCATTATTTTGTTTTTCAGTGAATTTTTTTTAATTTTTAATTTTTAATCTCAATTTTCTATCTTCACTCATTTAACGATTCTAGATCAGTGTAAAACTTTGTTAGTTTTATATATATATATAGTCAAAGCAGCAAGATCATAGTCATGGATTAATGATCTCTTACATATGGATTAATTGAATCAAGGACTCTTAACTAATTTCAAGTTAATTGCTGCAATTTCTATGCAGTATCTTACTGGATATTGGGACTGATAATCTCTTTGAGAAGAACACAAAATTTTGATAACTTGGAGGCATCAGACCAGTACCATCCAAATTGCAGACAAAGAGAATGAATATGGTAAGGGATATGAAATTTTGTCAAAGATTTCATATCCAAAAATAACAAAAATAAAATAAAACATTAGTTCAAGTTAAGTTTTGTGATCATAATCATGGTATACTAAATTTTGAAATGCATAAGAGGCTTAGAAATATTGCAAGTTGGCGTTTGAAAACTGGATATATATAAAAAAATTAGCTGACCCTTATTCCCATATGTAATGGGGTAAGAGGGAGGTAAGATAGTAGGTTGCCCCCAACGTCAGATTGAGAGCAGTTTCCGTGGGAGACCTCCAAATTATGAAATGCCCTCCGTGAGACTCGATTCCACGACCTCAAGATTAAGAATCTTGTGTTCTACCAACTGAGCTGTATGATCATTTTTTTTAAAATTCCCTTGAGACATGGTGCAGTAATAGTTTAATATTTTTGAGTATTTCGGGACTTTAGGGCATTGTAAGTGGACGCATAGGCAACCAATTAACTGATTCAACCTAATACAATATTATTTTAAGAGAATAGTTTTATTTTTATTAAAAAAATAATGAGATATAAGAATCATGTGATCTAAGTAATTACTAGTTAACAAATTAGCATGCCTCGTGATAGCCACTTGCTTAGGTGTTGGATATATTATAATTAAGCTCGTGAATTTAGGGTTAGATTTATTTTATTTGAGCTGCTATACTTTAATTTGATATTGTAAGTCACGAATGGAATGAAATCCTGGGCGTGAAAAATGCTCTTAATATCCACACATTTGTTAAATAAATATCACCTTAATAAGTGATATTTCTCTATAGATCAACAAACTTATATCTTGTTTAGGAAAATATACATGATTATAAATTGGTAAAAGGATATTTGAGGTACTTGTACTTTAAAAAAAATCAATATGGCATTCGAAATATTTTTGTACTCAATGTGACCCTCAAACTTAGAAAAAGAACCTAATATTACCCTTTGACTGTTACGATGTTGACGTGAAGATCCATAATGCTAATTTGGCAGTTATTGTATTTGATGATGTGGTTAGTAAAGTAATAGATGAACTAAATTGGTTTTTTTTAATTAAGTTCGAGGACCAAGTTGATTTTTTTAAATTCATGGACTTATTTGATTTTAAAAAAATTAAAATATAAAAATATTCAAAAAGTAAATATAATAAAATATCAAAAATAAAAATTAAATTGTTAAACATTTTAAAATATATATTATTATTATTATTTACCTTGAATTTAACCTGATTTTTATTTATATAAATCTAAACTTATTTAGCTGGCACAAATTTTATTTATATATTTACCTCTAATTATCTTATTCTTCAAATATCTTTCTATTTCTATTCCATTGAATTTTTATAAAATAGAATTAAATAAACATTATAAAGTCTTATAAAAATAAAATTTAAAAGTTATGAAATTAAAATTTATTTATAAATTATCATGAAATTATATAATTTAAAAATATAAAAATAATTATACAATTAAGATGAGCATTTTAGTGCATATAACATGATAGATGAAAGTAAATTTCACCCAAACTTGATCTCAAAAAATTTAATAGGAAAATCAATATATTTGTCAATTTATGTTAGATACAACTCTATAAAGTCAAGATTGATATGAACTTCGTGTATTTGAGCGGGGTTTTTTGTCACCTCCAATATTTATTTATTTTTAGCATTTTCAAGAAATAACAAATTTATCTCTACAAAATAAAAATAAAATAAACCTCATATTAGAATTGACATGTATGAACATAACAATATAATTATACTACTAAATAAAATAAAACTTAAATTAGAATTAGATTACGCCTCTAAATTCAATGAATCGTTTAGCAAAAACATTTTCAATAACTATGGTTAATGTTTGTGTGTGTGTATATATATAATTTTTAGTAATTTGTTTTTTAGCTTCAATATTTTTATATTTAATTTTCTATATATTTGTACAATTCAAAATTTAAATTTAGATTTTTTTAAATCAATAAGTCACTAAACTTTAAAAAAATTTAAATTTGGCCCTCTAACCAAATAAAAAAAATTTAATTTAGTCTATTTGTCACATCATCAGTCACCATGGATCATCACGTCAATATCGTGAAATACCACGTTAACAACAAAAAATTATTGGTTAAAGGATCACATTAGATTTTTTTCTCTAAATTTGAAGATCACATTTAATAAAAAATAATTTGAGGGTCCTATTAATTTTTTTAAAGAAAAATACAAAGACCTTAAGTACCCTTTTGCCTTATAAATTTTACTTGAACGGGCACCATAATTAGCAATTCATATATTACTAGAACTACCCTTAAATCAACTCAAAATATGATTAAAGTTTTAAAAGTCTCATAACTACTAGAATCACCCGTAAATTGTTAAAGAAATACAACGTTTAAAGAAAATATAACGTTTTTAATAGAGTTATTTTCTGTATTTTAACAAATAGTCACTGACATGTCTAAAAATTAAAAATGGGTTAAAATTTTTAATTACATTATTATTTTTTAAACGAGTATGTAAATTTTCTTATTTGTTTAATATATTAAATTAAATTTAATATTTTTTAATAATAGGTATGTAATTACATCATAAACATCATACATCTGATTATTAAAGTTGAAACTTTAAAACCACAGCAGCAACGTTAACCTGCAACAAGTACACTAACCAGGAACTCTGCGTGGTAGTATTTCTTTTGTTTTAAAAAGCGGGGAAAAGGCCTGGGACCAGCTGCAGGTCCACCGCATTCACAAGCGCGTATTGTCACGTGCCAATTCACCTTGGATTCCAGGATTCACTCATCACTGTGCCCAATCTCAGCCAGCTTCCTCAGAAAAATTAAATTCCACCGTCATTTCATAACATATCTGCTTCCATTTTCCCTTGTTTTCACGCGCTTTATAGGCATTGTTCATGATTTATTTCCGAGTGAATTAAAATGGCATGTTGAGCCTCTTTTTGAATTTAAAATACGCTTGGGTTAACCGTTGGGCCTCTTTTTTAAAGTTACTGCCGATGTCGAAGCTCCAAGTCCAACCCCAAATCTCACCCTTTTTTAATTCAGTTTTTTTTATTATTAAAGTTGAATAAATAAACTCTATTTCTAGGCCTATATGTACCCTGTTCCCCTCTCATCAAATCCACAACTTAAATCCAAGCTCGAAGCTCTCTCAGCTCTCTCTTCTCACTTCTCCAAAAGCAGCTTTTTTTCTTCTTTTTTTGTATCAGAATCAAAATGGCTTCTTTCGTTGCTCAAAGTGTGTTGAAACTTTTCCTTGTGATCTCTATGTTTCAAATCTCTTTGGCTGGACGGAAGCTGAGTGAAGTGGTGCAAGACCAGCCTCAGCTCTTGACATACCACAATGGTCCCCTTCTTTCTGGCAAAATTACAGTCAATTTGATTTGGTACGGCAACTTCAAGCCTTCCGAGAGGGCTATTGTCTCCGATTTCGTTACCTCCCTTTCCTCAACCGCGCCGCCTCGAAACAACCAGCCCTCGGTTGCTCAGTGGTGGAAAACCACAGACAAATACTACCACCTCACCTCCAAGAAATCGTCGCTTTCCCTGTCTTTGGAAAGACAAATACTCGACGAAAACTATTCACTTGGAAAGTCGCTCAAAAACAAACAAATCGTTGAATTAGCCTCAAAGGGTGACAAAAAGAATGCTATCAACGTCGTCTTAACAGCATCCGATGTTGCTGTTGAAGGGTTTTGTATGAGCCGATGTGGAACTCATGGGTCTGCCTTGGGCTCAACCAGCGGTCACATCAAGGCCAACAAGTACTCCAAGTTCGCTTACATTTGGGTCGGTAACTCCCAGACACAGTGCCCCGGTCAATGTGCCTGGCCCTTCCACCAGCCAATCTATGGGCCACAAACCGCACCTATGATTGCCCCAAACAACAATGTGGGTCTGGATGGCATGGTGATCAACTTGGCTAGCCTCTTTGCCGGGACCGTCACAAACCCTTTCGGAAATGGATACTACCAGGGCCAAGCCGAGGCGCCATTGGAGGCTTCATCAGCTTGTCCTGGCATTTATGGTAAAGGAGCTTATCCGGGGTATGCAGGAAACCTACTGGTAGACGCAACAAGCGGTGCTAGCTACAATGCTATTGGTGACAATGGAAGGAAATACTTGCTTCCTGCTATGTATGATCCTTCAACGTCATCTTGCTCAACTTTGGTCTAACCATTTGAAGCCTCCGTGAGCTCAGCTGTATGTACTCGGTTTACAGCTTAATTCTTTTATTTGTTCATTTGTTGTGCTTATGCGGATAATAAAAGATCAGCAAACTACTTGGGTTTGCTTTTTCCATATTGACAATTCTCACTTACTTGGGAGTTTTAGTTCGTGATTTAAATCAATCACCCTTGTATAAGCTTGTGCTTCCCCTCGGGAAACTTCCATTTCTGCTCTTCGATTACCTTGGCGCAGCTTATGAAGAGAGGGGAAGTTCTTAAGAATGTTGGAAATTGGAAAGTTAGAAGCATCTTGAGGTTTCCACTTTCCAGGATTGCAAGTTCCAAGGAAGGGGATGTGAAAGAACTGATTTTGAACTAAATTGATATAAAATTTAAGTATAATAATAAAAATTATAATTATTTCAATTTTGTTAATTATTATATTAATATTTTCATCGATGATTAATAATATGTGATTTGATTAAAACCGTTTAAATAATTAAGTAATCTAATTTATATATAATTTACCCATAATTTTATTGGAGTCTTCAGTAATCACCGGTAACTTTCAATAATAAAAAACAAGTCTAAGTTCAAACTATCACACGGCAACTTAAGTAAAATTACATCCATCTAAGGATAATTTTACATCAAATTGATCATTTTAACTTATTTTTCTAAATAATATCAATAGTAACTTTCAGGGGGGGAAACTATTTTAAATAAGCCAAGTTAAGTGGTATTTAAAATATAAAAAGAATGAAAACAAATAACAATTCATAAATCATTAATTCATAGCAAGGATGATTTACAATTAATGTTATCTTACTGTTGAAATTCATTAATTTTGATCGAGTGACCAATGATATTAATATTAGCCTATTTTATATGAATTTAAATTTAATTGAGTGGTCAATGATATTCATATTATTTATATTTATAAATTCAAATATCGACATTTATTTTAAAATATAATATTTTTCTACTTAATATAAGATGTTACCCTACAGCTATTATAAACATGACATGATTAATTGATGTTGTGAACTGTAAGTTAAATCCTACCAACAATTATTGATATTCCGATAGAAACCAAACAAATGCAATAACAACTATCTCACATCATTCAATGTGCTTGTGATACATATTCATATTACACCAAAAACAAGACATATGAACATTATTATTATTATTATTTGTCTTGGAGTTGTTTCTCTTCAACAATTCTCAATTATGAAACCTTGATATTCCAGCAACTTGCTCTTTTTGAAAATCTAAAGCCACCTCCCCCAATTTGGCTTCGACTGCACTGTCCCCTAACACTATTACGCGTTTTCCATCTGCCTCAGAAGCTAGCTTACTCGCACTCAATCTTCTTTTCTTCTCTCTGTCTGTATCCACCCTTAGCTGGCTTTTAATTGTATTTTTTTTAACGTATTGGTTGCGAGAGTCTTCGATTAAAATATAACGCTTCAAATTGGCTGGCATCCCCACCTTTCTCTTTAATTTTAGTCTCTTTCCTACCACTTTCGTCCCTTCATCTAAGCTTTCTTCTATCATGACTTCTTTGAGTACTTCCAATGTTGTTCTGTTTCTTGTTGTCTTGGTCTCTTCGCTACATTTCAGCGTAGAAGCAAGGAGGCTCGTTGCGTCGGACCAAACCGAGCAGCCTTTGCTTTTCCAATACCACAACGGCCCTCTTCTATACGGAAAAATCTCTGTTAATCTCATTTGGTATGGCAAGTTCAAGCCTTCCCAACGTGCGATTGTCTCCGATTTCGTCGCTTCCGTTGCATCTTCCAAGCCTACAATAGCTCAACCCTCGGTTGCTACATGGTGGAAAACCACGGAAAAGTACTTTCAGCTCAGCAAGAAACCTTCTTCTCTTGCGCTCTCGTTGGGTTCACAAATCCTCGACGAGAACTACTCTTTGGGAAAGTCACTCACGAATCGACAAATCGTGGATTTGGCATCGAAGGGTGCTCAGAAGAACGCCATTAACGTTGTCTTGACATCAGCCGACGTGGCTGTTGATGGGTTCTGCTCTAGCAGGTGCGGAAACCATGGTTCAGCTTCGGGTAGCTCAAGCAATGGTCACAGTAAGTTCGCTTACATTTGGGTCGGTAACTCAGAGACACAGTGCCCAGGTCAATGCGCTTGGCCATTCCATCAGCCCATCTACGGCCCGCAGAACCCACCTTTGGTTGCACCCAACAACGATGTTGGTCTTGATGGGATGGTGATCAATCTAGCTAGCCTCTTGGCTGGGACTGTGACTAACCCTTTCGGAAATGGGTACTACCAGGGTCCAAAAGAGGCACAGCTGGAGGCTGCATCAGCTTGTCCCGGGATTTATGGTAAAGGGGCTTATCCAGGCTATGCCGGAGACCTTCCGGTGGACGCAACAACTGGTGCTAGCTACAATGCACATGGTGTCAACGGGAGAAAGTACCTGCTTCCTGCTATGTTTGACCCTTCGACCTCCACTTGTGCTGCTCTGACTTAAAAGTTCAAACAAAGATTATAAGACATGAGAGCATGGCAGTGTACAAAATATATTTTAGGCAATATAGTTTTGTAAGAGATTCTTTTATTGTATTGTCATTGAATTATTCTTTTTCCTAAATGATTGAGTATATACTTACAAATATTTCCCCCTTCTTATTATATTCTTCTTTTTCCAAAAACCACTAAGTTTATTAAAAATAAAAAAATATCTAAATTATAATGAAAGTTTACCGTCACACTCCAATTTAGGTATTAAATTTTATTAACTTAAAGTATTAAATTAAAGTCATAACAAGAGAAAAGTTGAGACTAAATTGTATTTTTTTAAAAGTTGCAGCTTAGTTTCAAAACCTGTGGGAAGTTCAAGGACTTAACACTAAATTTTCCTAATTTTTCTAGTTAGTTAATACCCAATCCCTCGATGGGATGAAAACCCCCCCAAATTTATCCCCAAATTCCCTACCTCAACCCTAGCCGTCGTCTCTTCACCGCAATTCGCTCTGATCTGGCCGCCATTGTCACGCTCCGCCGCCACAAGTTGAACAAGTGTCCTCCGACGACCAATCTTCAGCCATTAACGACCCCAATAAATCGTCGAGCGTCGTTAATTGAAGGGATAAAACCCATAGCATCACCGTCACATTTCTCGTCGATTCCAGCTGATCCGATGACCGTCTCGCCTCACCGTTATCACCAACGTGTTCCCGACCTATTTCTCTCAAAAACTGACTGGTGGGTCAAGTTGTCACCGTCGCTTTCCTCGTCGTCGACATGGGTAAGCGTTTCGACCCTTTTTCTTTTGTTTCAAGTGCTTTAGCTGAAATTGGGTGTTGTTTGGCTTGATGTTAAGGTTTAAATGATCGTAGAGCAATCGGTCGATCACCCCAAGCCCGTCGTCACCGCCACGCGCCTCCGCGTGCGCGTGGGCTTCTTCCCTAGCCTTGGAACCTTCTAGAATCGGTCTAATCAGTCTAGATCGGCCCGAACTGGCCAACCCAGTATGAACCGAGTCTGTTTGACCTGAACTGAGTCAACCAACCCGACATGTTGACTTTGACCCGACCCGTTGACCTTTGACTTTAACAAAAAAAGTCATTTTTTTAAAAGTCGTATTTTATGTTTTTCGACATCATAAGTCCGAATCTGAAGTCTGTTTTGTCATATTCGCACTCGGTAAGCCATTTTACAGTTTTTATCTTCGAAATCAAATTTGGTTATTGGATTAAGTCCAGTTTTTGGCGTAAATTAGTTTGTTATGAATCCGATACATTATGGGACGTGGAATGAAAGTTCGAGAACGATCACAGGAGTTTAAATGGTGAATCGATATGACTCGTAAATCGAGGTAATACTCTACTACATGTTGTATTCTTTTCGGAACACATTGGTAATTGGTAAATGCATGAATGAAAATGATTGGTCAATTAGGTGTATTTAATTATCATTGGACTTAAATTGAATATGGAATAAATGCATAATACTGTAGAATACTCTGACTGCTCGCACAAAAAATTGGTAGACCTATCGGAAATAATTTTAAGTTCATGGATTATGTAGTAATAAATTGATCTCAGAATCCAAAATTATGATTAATTTCTTTAAAGGTTAAATGCGGGGAATACTTGATTAAGAAATTACGAAAAATACCCTTAAGTTGTAAAAATGGTATGTATTAACCTTGATAGTGGAATTACTCTGAGAATCTGTATTTGACCTGATAAAATTTATGGCACGCCTATTAACTCTTAATTTATTTGGAAAATATCTTTTAATCATTTTTAACCCTCAAAGAAAGCACAAGGCTTATAAACTCTGATTCTTGAATAAACACTTGAAGCTTAATTTATCGGAAATAATATCACTGATAGAATTGAATGAAATGATGATAATATCCTTAAAGTCTAAAAAGGACTATGAATGGCTATGATAATGGAGACGACATGAGAAATCATATTTTGATCCACTTGAACCTTGGAATCACCGATTAAACTCCTGATCTATTTGAAATGCCCCTGAATTGTAAAATGATCTGAAGTACTTCCAAACCTAGAATAACTAAATACCCTCAAGCTCTGAAATAAATAAATCAACCTCGAATACAAAAAATGACCAAGAATTTTTATTTCTGAGCAAACATCCAGGGACTAAATTACTGAAGGTACTTTACACATTTGAATTAAGTTGAACTGAATGGAAGTACTGTATGTATATGAATTGTGGAAACGACAGAATTACTCTGGAACTCCGAAGAGATCGGGATAGACTTAACTACTAAATGACCTAAGTACCCTCAAAGATCTAGAATTAAGTGAATGACTTAAATAAGTCTGGTAACGCTGATGAACCTATATGTTATACCGTCCATAAGGGTTTTGAACCACAAATCAAGCACGTTGATATTTCTTGATATTGTTGCAATACAAAAATAAAATAAATACCATTGGAATATCTGTTTGTATCCCTAAGATCCATTCAATGATGATTCTGAAGATGATCAGTTCGACAAGAGTTATCAATATTAAAGTATGAATACCTTTGAAGTGCATCGATTTGACCGGTTGACAGGTATCACAATGCTGAGATTTGTTCAGTTCGAGTTAAATTAATATCCTGATAAATTGATACGAGTCTTAAATACCATAAATTATCGTTTCACCCTTATTAGATCAAATTACTAATAATTCTCCAAGAACCAAATGTCCAAAATGCCCCTGATTTTCTGAATAATGGAATCACTTCCGTTATATTTGAAATCTTAAGTAACTCTGATGCAAAAGATTCTAAGTACCTTCCTGATTGCTTAGTGCCTCCGAAAAAATATATGAATATTATACGATCTTGATAAACCATTTTCTGAATGATTGATGACTCTGTTAGCTATTAAACCCCTTTTTATAGGGATATTAATTCTGAAATCATATTAAATTACAGAAGTTTCATGGTCCCTACTTGATAATTGCTAAGTACCTCCGAAAAATATCTAGATCCTCTAGTGTGTTCCCTATGTACTACCTGAATGTTTTATCTGTTTTGAAATATGTTTCACCGAAATTTATGATTTACTGCCTTATGAACCATGACTACATTGTATGTGTTATCTGATTATTGTTTTCACTGGAAAATATAATCGTTCTTGAATTCATTGATCATGGGATTTACTGTTACTACTTGAACTTTTTTATTGGGATTTTACCTATGTAGGTTGGAGTATAGAGGTTCAGCTCTGATCAAGCTGGTAATTCCCTACGGGCCTAAGGTGACCCTTGGGTAGGCTCTAAGGCCACGAGAAACTTTCTTGGGTAGGCTCTCAGGCCCCAAGGCACTCCCTTGGGTAAATAATGGGACTGCATATGGTGTACGGGTGGAAGGCATCTATGTAGTTTATTTCATTGTCACTCTTATGAGATTTTACTAGATCGAGATCTTGATATTACATGTTACTGTTAAATCTGATTTCTATTGGATACTGTATTGGTAGGATTATGGAGTATGGAGGTTCAGGTCTGATCAAGTTGTCAATTTCTTACGGACCTAAGGAGACTATAGGGTAGGCTTATAGGCCCCAAGATACTCCCTTAGGGTGGCTCCATTGTTGTGTGCTTAGGGTAAGTCCTTATGGATGCAGTTATGAGAAACTGCAAACGGTGTTCGGGTGAAGGGTATCACTGTGTTTTTGAAGTTTTTGAAATATGTTTTAAACTACAAATGTTTTTAAAGGATTTATATACATTACTCTATATTGTTGGAAAACACTAGACATCCTATTATGATATAATAAACTTGGTCCTCTGAATGTTTTCTCTTAACTGAAATCTTCATGTCTTTTACTCGAAGAAATATCAGTAGAACCATAGTTCATTCTGAAAACTTGTAGACGTCGAAATCGATAAGAAAATATTTATGTTTTTCTATTTATTTGCATATCATTCAGCATCACTTGGTAGTTCTGTATTACTGAGCTTCCCAAAGCTCACTCCTTACTCACCATTTCAGGTTAAAAGAGTTGATCCAGTACAACTATCAACAACAGTAAAAGAGTTTCATTGGCGTTGCTTACGGAGTATGGTGCATGTGATTAGGGGCATGTAGGTTGTATTCTGTTTCTATATCCGAGTCTGAAACTTGTATGATTTTATTTCTGTTTTTAATATATAAATGGTTTTTCTGAACTTGTATTTTAATTATAAATTGTTTTATGATTTTATGCGTTTTAACAAAATTTTAATTTTTCTCGGATTTTTACTGTGGGACTCTCCGGTAGCCCTAATGTGACACCTCAGATCGGATCGGGTCACCCACATCGGTCGGTGGGTGTTACATTTACAACTAACCACGACCATAAACTAAACATATAATAAATATATTTTCTTAAACAAAAGAAAACTAACAACTTAAGATCACATAAGGATCATACAAGAAAAATGTTAAAAAATCTAATCAAATAAACTCAAACAAAAAATAGATACAAATATATCTGATTGCATCGACAAACAAACCATAAAATGGGATGGAGCTATTGAAAGACTACCAATAAACAACAAATCAGAATAGATCAACGTGAAAATACTAACCATAAATGCAAATCACATATCTAAATTCAATCTGAGGGTCCAAAGCGGAGAATATCAATATGATAACAAATATCATATTGATCAGTTGTGGCGATATCAAATTCAACTATGAAAAAAATGATAAATGAAAACAACGTCCAAACGACCGAAAATGTGTCATAAAGGCAGAGAAACATGTGTCATGAGACAAAAAAAGACATACCATAAGAGCAAAATTATTAAAAATAAAAAAATAAAGATACACTATAATAAAGCAAAAGAAAAACAATGAATACTGACAGTCGGCAACCTATACCAAGACTGATGATGCCGTCGATCAGAAAGATGAAGAAAAAAACTAACGGTAACTAAATAAAAACAGAGAAAAATAAGGTATTATTTATTTATTATATCCAACTAAATATCTAGATTTTGATATAATAAGAGACAATTTTGATGATGCCGTCGATCAGAAATGTAACACCCCCAACCCGTATCCGACCCGGATACGAGTCCGAAGTGTCACATTGACTTTTCAAACCTTGA